CCTTCTCCTTCTCCTCCTCCTCCTCCTCCTCCTCCTCCTTCTTTCTCTCTCTCTCTCTCTCTCTCTCTCTCTCTCTCTCTCCATCCCTCTCACTGTGGGGCTGGTGGGGACTACTCAGAAGGGCTGACATGGGGGGGCCAGGTCCCTCCCCACCCCCTGACGTGGCCCCTCCTCCCCTCTCCACAGACTCCAGCTTCTGAACTGTGACCAGCAGGCTAACACCTGGCTCCGGTCCCCACCTCTGGCTTCAGGACCCCATCTCCTACGGCCCGCCCACTCAACGCCTACCTCCCTGGGGCCCCGCCAGGACACGGGGGGCCTGAGCACCTGCTGGGGGGGTCTCTCAAGGACAAAGACAAGGCCTCTAGGCTCTGTGCCCCACTTCTGCCCTCGCCGCTGCCAGGAACCCAAGCTGAGATCTGGGTCCTCAGAAGATGGTGGCTGGGGTCCCCCACCTCCAGGACAGAGAGGGCATTGGGGTGGGCTGGGGTCGTCAGGGGAGGAGGGTCACCTGGATCCGATATTTGGGGAGGTTCCCTTCATCCTCCCAGCCCACCCCCCTCCTGTCTCCTCCTACCTCCCTTCTCTAATGTCTTCTACTTTTGTTTTTTTAATGATAAAGTCTTAAAAACCAAAAGCCACCAATTTGAGTTCTGATGTGTTTGTTTTTATTGATTTTTAGAGAAAGAGGAAGGAAGAGGGAGAGAAACATCGATGTGAGTGAAACATTGATTGGCTGCCTCCTGCATGCCCCCTACCAGGGATCCAGTCTGCAACCTGGGCATATGCCCTGACCGGGAATTTAACCAGCAACCTTTCGGTGCACAGGATGGCACCCAACCCACTGAGGCATACTGACCAGAGCCAATTTGAGTCTTTGTGTCTCTTCTAAGATTCAAATTCCCATCAATTTGAAGCTCATAGAGCACTCATTACAATGACAATTCATACTCTTTATCCTGCTCTGCCCTTGGGCACTCCATATGTATCAGTCAGCTATTGCTGTGTAACAAACAATCCCTAGACTTTGTGGCTCAAAACGCCCACTGCTTTTTAGCTCATCATTTTATGGGTTGATATCTTTTTTTAAAAAAATATATTTTATTGATTTTTTTACAGAGAGGAAGGGAGAGGGATAGAGAGTTAGAAACATCGATGAGAGAGAAACATCGATCAGCTGCCTCCTGCACACTCCCTACTGGGGATGTGCCTGCAACCAAGGTACATGCCCTTAACTGGAATCAACCCTTGCACCCTTCAGTCCGCAGGCCGACGCTCTATCCACTACGCCAAGCCGGTTAGGGCTGGGTTGATATCTTAAACTAGGCTCAGTGAGGCAGGTCTTGTGGTTTCCGTAGGGCTCTCTTGTGTGTCTGTGGCAGGGACAGGTCAACAAGGGGGCTCTGCTTCTGGGGGCCAGTTTGCTGGCAGCGGGGGCAACAGGACCACGTGGTAACATCAGCCAGCAGGCTGTCAATCAAGTTTGTTCACATAGAGCAGAGGTCCTCAAACGTTTTAAACAGGGGGGCCAGTTCACTGTCCCTCAGACATTACACACATGCGCACTGCGGGCCCGGGACGAGTCGGCTGCTAAGCAGGACAGGCAGCGGCGGCAAAAACACCCGGGGAGCCGGATAAATGTTTTCGGGGGGCCGGATAAATGTTTTCGGCGGGCCGCATGTGGCCCGCGGGCCGTAGTTTGAGGACCCCTGACATAGAGGCTTGATTGGACTCCAAGAGAGAGAGCAGAAGGGCCCAAGCCCTCGAGAGGCCCCGGCTCAGATCTGGCTCACGGTTATCATCCCTTAGCCATGGAAAGTCTCAAGGCCAGACCAAGGGGAAATAGACTCTACCCTCCTTGGGAGGAGCTGCAAACTCGCATTATAAGGGAGGTGGATCCTGGGAGAGATGAGGAATGGGGGCCACTGTTGCATCAGTCTCCCACACTGTGGCTCCAGTTACCTTCTCCATCTGTCCCATGGGAGACGGGCAGGCTGGGCACGATCAGCCTCACCCGTGGAGAGCGGTGCCCACAGACCTGGGTTCAAATCCCACCTCTGGAACATAACAGCTGTGGTACCTTGGACAAGTGACCTCACTTCTCTGGGTCTCAGTTTCCACATCTGGAAAGTGGGGGTAGTAGCCACACCCACCTCACCGGTCTGTCGTGCTGATGAGCAGAGGTTTGGCAGGGGACGTGCTGAGAACGGCGCCGCCTGGCACGCCGTAAGCACTCAAAGTCACGAGTCCTTCTCTGTAACTAGAGAAACTGCAGCCCAGAGCTGAGGGCTGCCTGGAAACAGGTGAGGAGCGGAGGGAGCAGTTCTGAGACTCAACGGCCTTCACCTGTTGTTCATTCATTCATTTGGGCCCCAGGTATTTCCGGGGCACACTCTCTGCTCATCACTTCAGTGAACAAACCAAACCCCTGCCCTAGGGGAGCTGAGGTGGGGGGGAGAGGGGGAGGATGGGGAGACCCGCGTAGGCCGTGTAAATGAGTGCGTCGTGGGGTCTGCTAGAAGCTGGCGGTGGCGCAGGGTAGGGGATACACTACGCGTTTATTTACCCTTTGCTAGTGCGCATGTGCCAGGCTGTTCTAGGAGCTTTATCCTACCCACCCGGTAAACCCACCGTTATGTCCCAGGAGGTGGGATGATCACTGTCCCGTTCCCGGAGGAGAAAACCAAGGCCCAGAGAGGTGGAGTCACGTGCCCAGGGTCACACAGCCGGAGAGTGTGAGTCTCTATGACAGCGGTTCTCAACCTGTGGGTCGCGACCCCTTTGGCGGTCGAACGACCCTTTCACAGGGGTCGCCTAAGACCATCCCGCATATCAGATATTTACATGACGATTCATCACAGTAGCAACATGACAGTGATGAAGTAGCAACGGAAATAATTTTATGGTTGGGTCACAACAGGAGGAACTGTATTTAAAGGGCCAGAAGGTTGAGAATCACTGCTCTATGAGAACCAGGACTGCCTGGCAGCCTCGGAGCCTGTGTGCTAACCACTCTGCTCAATGGCCTCTCATTTAAAAAAAAAATAGAATCTAGCCCTAGCCGGGGCTCAGTGGTTAGAGCGCCGGTCTGTGGACTGAAGGGTCCTGGGTTCGATTCCAGCCAAGGGCACATGCCTGGGTTGCAGGCTCGATCCCTGTGTGGGGTGTGCAGGAGGCAGCCGATGTCTCTCTCTCTCTCTCCCTTCCTCGCTCTCTCCCTTCCTCGCTCTCTAAAATCAATAAAAACATATATATCCTTGAAGGAGGATTAAAAGAAAAGAGAATCTAAGACTGTGATTTTTAAAGGGCCCAACACGAACTAGTTTCTGGGTTAGAGACTGTTGTGGTGACTGGTTAGTGTTTACCTCCCCCCAAACTCCCCAGGACTGAAGGGGGGTGGGTGAGGAATAGACAGCAGGAAGGACTTCCACCCCGAGCCCCCCTTGAAGGCCTGTGGGGACAGGTTATGGGGAGGGGGCCGCGCTGGACCCAGGCCTGACCCCTGGGAACCCGGGCGCTGCTAAGAGGGAGGGGCACCCCCTCCGCCCCCTCCTTCTCCCGGCGCCTGGAAATGCCTCTCACTTAATTCTCTCTAATTAAACCAATTGGATGTGCCTGGGGAGGAGGGAGACTGGGCGGGAGGTTAATTGTAACTAAAAATACCTCGCCCACTTCCTGGGGTGAGGAGCCGGCGGGTTCCGGGGCAGCGGGGGAAGTGAGTGGGCTGAGCAGGACGGCCCGGTAAGTGGG